GACTTGGTGGTGTAGGATGTACAAAGACCAAATCTAGGTCCAGTGCCATGTTGATCTTGTCCCTCCAAAGGTCAACCAGGTCAGTCTTCCAGTAATGATGATGTTGATCAAGCCGAAAAACTCTACTCTCCTCATTGACAGATTCGTATGGTCCAGCGATGTACCATGTTGTGAGGAAAGCAATTGGTCCTTCTTCACAAGCAATTGCGGCCTGTTCAGCAAAGGCTTGATGTAAGGAGCTGAACCATGATGGCCATGGTTGATCATGTTCTGCTTGTCGTGGTGGTTGGTAAGCTCCAGGAGCACTGGCCACAAATTGTGGGTCAGCACATTCACCAAAGTTCCGAATGGCAACTGTGGTTGAAGGTTTGATCCATGTATCCTGTGGCAGGGCAGCGTCAGTGGCGCTCACTTGCAATAATGTGGCTTCGTCAGCGGGTTGTTGCGCTGCTTCGACATCTGTGAAAAATTCATCATGATCAGGTTGGCGTCGATGGCGTTGAATAATTTGTCTTCGATTGAGTCCATGTTGGCCTGCCCGTACTGCATAGTAAGTGGAAATGCTGGATGGCTCAAAGGGCGGCACCGCAATGCGTATGTAATCACCATGATATGCAAGTCCAAATTGGCACGTGATCGTGCATTGATCAAGGCACCTCGATGCCACAGCAAGCATCGATTTCTCATCGTAGTGCAGTATTGTAAAACACCAGCAATACGTAGAATCAGCGAGCGATGGATAGGTGTTGGCAGCAGTGTGGTGTATCTGTCAATCTCAACAACCGACTCAAAGGTTGGGCCGTGCAACTCAACATCAATCAGAACAGCTCTGCGTGTGTCGCCAAAGCGCATATCGGTATGTGCTAAAAGAAGGAAAGGTGCAATGTTGGCTGCTTGCAGATCCTTAGGCGACGGCTGGATGTCGAAGATGTTTGCGACAGCGTGGTGTGTCATGCCCAACAATCGTCTGATGTCGGCGAAGGAAGCCTCTGGAGGTTGCGTATGCACCCTTCCATGCGCAAAATTGCCATTGAGGTCGTATACTTGAGCAGACTGCCATTCTTGTGGTGGGCCAAACGACGATGGTGATGTTGGTGGATTCGTATTCAGATCTGAGTCACTGTCAGTGCTGAGCTCGTCCAAGGGCATGCGTGCACCGGGAGCTCTAGCCATGAAGGAGGACAGATCAGATTCATCTTCATCTGGATGTTGTTGAAACATCGGTGGGAAGTGCTCATCAAAGGAAACTGCAAATGGCTGAAAAGCGACATGTCGTTGTTGACGTCGAATCACAGACGCATTCCTTCGAAGGCATGGTTTCCCAGGGAGGAGCTTGTGGTTTCCTGTAGTGGTCCATGGCAAAGTGTCATCATATGAGAGCACTTCGGTTCTCAACATGGTGGCTCTTGCTAGGGCTGCAGGTTCAGAAAGAAATTTGGGGTCCCAGTGAATGCTGTGACAGCGGACCAGGAGATTCAACTCAAAGTCAAAACTTCGAAGATCTGGATGACATGCTGCACCAGTGTTGCAATCACAGTGGTAGGCCTCAGTCAACTCAGTCGTCTTCTTGTGCTGAAATGGCTCATGATGCTCGTTCCGCAGACACAAAGCTTCACTGCCAAAACTCACTGTTTGGGTGAGGAGGATCGCTGTCCATCGAAACCACCATCTTGGCCACTTCCCCCAAAGGGCTCCATAGAGCGTGGTCTCTTTGTTCTGCGATCTTCTTCGTCGGAGAGCACTTCCATGGCCTCGTCGGTCTTGGAGGCTGCTGCAATGCTCTGTTGTAGGCTTTCTTGCACTTGTTGAACTAGAGCTTGAGCTTCCATCTCGAAGGTGGAGTTGGTATCCCCCTCTACCGACTCTGGGATGGCATCGCCTGTTTCGGTGGAGAGCGGCGCTCCCACTGCTGCAGCCTGCTTGTTCAGCTGCTGTAGGTGTCTGCGGGCGATGTTGAGCTCTTGTTGCGCTCTGTTCAATTGATCTCCATACTCTTTCTGCTGGTCCTTGAAGAGCTGGAGCTGCTTCTGCCAACTGACTACAGAGTCTTTGAGGTGTTTGAGCCAGTTCTGTCGATGGGATGTTCTTGCATCCTTGACTTGCGACAGTTGCCTGGCTGCTTTGCCTACCTGTTTGGAGGCTTTGTTCAAATCTGTGGTAAGGGCTTTCGATGTGAACTTCTCGGCTTTTTCCACGGCTCTCTGGATGTCTTCCGGGGCCTGAGTGATGTCCGGGTAGTTCTTGCGAACGGCTGACAGAAGCTCTGCGTGTGAAAGTGCACTTGCTGTGGGTGGCACAGGTGCTTGTTGAACAGTTGAGGCACTCGTGTCTTGGGAAGGCCACGGCGGAATGGCCGGTGCAGCATAGGGATCTGCACTTTTGTTCCCTTTCCCTTTTCCTCCTCCTTTTTCTCTGCGTCTTGCACTTTCGCTTCTGTCGTAAGGCCGATTCTGATGGCCCTTCCATTTCCTTTGAGTCTTCCTGCCACGGGTCTGCCAGTCCCAATTTTCTGACTGATCCTCGTGGTAGTTGTAGGTCCTTGGACTCTTTGGCTCGTTGCTGTGCGGGACACCAGCGCTCCAGTGTGCCTTGCATGTCGGGCAGTGCACATGGCGCTTGCCGTTGAGGCGTCCACAGCTGCAATGCCAGGGATACGTCTCCATATTGGCCATGATGTTGGCGATGAAGACTGGGTCTCGAGAATGATGTCGAGACAACCTCTTGTAGATCTTGTGCAGCTGCTTGTAAGTAAGCACTGCTTGCCCTGTGCGGTGTCGATACCACAGGGATCTGGCTGTCGCTCGTTGCCGTCGGAGGCGACGCCTCTGGGAGTTTGTTGAAAGTGTCGTAATTCACAAAGAAGAGTGTGAAGAAAAACACAATCACCTGCATCAACTAAATGTAGAGCCTCCTCGCGGTACAGCTCACCAATGTAGATGATGGAGTCGCAATTGACAGGGTTGCAGCAAAGTCAGATTCAATGGGGAAGTCGCACAGGAAAATCAACTGTGCGAATAAGCCCAAAAAATGAAAATGCACCAGCCAAAATGAATTGAAATTGAGTAAAAAGATGTATAATACCACGCAATGCCAGGGTCCGAGGACAGCCAGTGGGAAAGCGGGTAAAATATCCAAAAGTCCAAAAAGATCCCAATATACCAGGTCAATGACAAAAAGGGCCAGGTAGATCAGGAAAAGGTGATGCCTCTCCAGTGAGATGGCAGAGCACTATGCCGTCAAGTGTTCAAGGCACACTTGCAGAAGCCTATCCCAGGATTAACGTGCTGGGACACGAAAGTGCACAGCCGGTACTCGTCGGTCACCAAGCAATGCAACCAAGGCCGTATCAACGAGGCCCGCGGGATTGCACCCGCTAAGGTTAACGATCTGCTATCGTGGGGGCTGCAGCCGAAACCTTAGGTATATATCTGTGTATATATATATATAATATCCAGATGTAGACATAGGTACACACCATAAACCATACTAAACTTAATCATTCAGCAACTTACCTACTTTGGGGGGACCCCACGTAGGCAGGCATGACCATCCTAGTAATCGTAACTGGGTCATAGCCCTGGTGAATGAGATCTGCAGTCCAGGAGAGTTTCCGGTCACTTCTGGGAAAACCTAAACTCAAATATTATTACCCATAGGATCCATGTATGGTATATATTATGCTAACATGACTGGGGTATATTGATGGTAAATGTTACCTATAGCATACATGGATCCTATGGGTTATATAATCAACAAAAATGACTTTGGATGACTTTGGAGTATATCGCATTCTTTTTTGGTAAGAACTCATGCAACATGAAAAGACAATAAAAAAAACATAATATACATATATATATATTATTGTTACATTCTGTTACAAATGATGTTAACTAGTAATATAACTAGGCAAATGACTAAATGGTTCATCAATAAAATGCAATATAACCAGAAATCTGTTCATATGATTTGGATTTAATGGTAATTTACCACAGACAAAACCCTGGCGTCATTGGGATATGATCGAGGCACAGGATTGTTCCAACTCAAACCATTCTTGGCACCCCCTAGAAATAGATAGAACCGAAACCTAGAGAAATGACGGAGAACATATCTGATTCATTTGATCTTCCGCGAAAAACAGTGAGAGATCTCATGGGACGTATCAAATGAAACAGGTGAGCTTTTCAAACATACTAAACATACGCCCGTTTTCCCATCCTTTGTATTACTATTTGGTTGATAAGATTCCCGTATTTTTAGGTTGGTCCATGTTCATAATCCTCAATCACCAGCTAGTATAACTACAAATCAATCCACAAAAAAGTGACTTATCCAATGGTATTGTGCTTCCCATATGATTGGGCATTAACCCTATGGATCCAGTCGTACCTTCTCAGGAAGTGGGACTGGGGTATAATTTACTCTAATTTGGAGGGTTTAGCCGTACCTTCTCAGACAGTGTTTGGATCCATAGTTTATTAATAAACCATGGTTTATTAATCCGGGGTTGACATTAATTACTAATACTATGTCACGAAAACCTATCAACCAGTCACTATAAAAGTATAGTGCTCGTGTACTATATTATATTAGAATATATACAATATATCAATCTATTACCCACCATTATGGTTAATACCTGATTAATTCCATAGTTTATTAATAAACCATTAATCACTAGTATATTACATCCATTTTTAGTGTATAATCATGTATAATCCAGTGTTTGGATCCATAGTTACTAAAAAATGATGTATACATTAGGTTTAGTATGGTTTGTGCTGTGTACTAGTATAATCCATACAATGTGAGGCCCCCAAGATAGCTAAGTTGGTTTATAACTCCAATAACTATGGTTTATGGTACTTATAACTATAGTTACTGGGGCTTATAAACCAACTTAGCTATCTTGGGGGCCTCACATTGTAGTGTTTATTAATAAACACTATGGGTTGACATGAATTACCAGTGACCAGTGAACCTGGCCACTGTGGATGGTCCTCCGGCAGCTTCCCAGCATCGCGCCGCAGCACGCCGTGGGTGAAGCGCGGCAGCGCCAGGAAGGCGTCGCTGTCACAGTCGCAGCGGGCCGGGAGGGAACCTACGCTCGAGGGGAATTCCAGGGGAACTTTGAGAGGAAAAGACTGAAAACAACAAGAAAAATGGAATGTCATCAGATGTCATAACTAAAAATGAAAATTTTAAGAAGATTTCACCAAGAAAATGGTGATGTACTTGAAGTGATGGGAGTTTGATAGGAAAAAGAAAGGGTTTTCATCAATCAAAATGGTGGATTTGATTCAATTTAAGTGATGAGATTGATGATTGGCTGCGCCCATCATCCAAAGGTGTTAGGGCTTTCAACTGAATTCACATCATTAAATTTACCATAGGTTTGCATTCCCATAGCATCATAGCATCTACAATGCCCTGATGACCCCCAAAAAATCGCCGGCAATAGCTGGATCTTCATCCACCAAATCATTCACCAAACTTGACCAAAACCAGTGGCTCCAAAGGTGGGCCTTTGAAAAACTCAGTTTAGACCTTTTTTATCGAACACTCCGGGATGAAATATCATGCAATTAACAATAACCAAGAGATACCCTCTGGTAAACTAACATAGCTATTGAAAATTTCCATAGAAATAGTTGATTTACCCATTAAAAATGGCGGATCTTTCAATAGTTATGTTTGTCATTACCAAGAGATAAGAATCATTCAGCTTTGACTGAGAATCGTGAAGTACCTCCTTTCAATCCACTGCTGAATCATCATTTTGCCCAAATTACGATGGACTGGTTGGTACCAATTTTCAGACATAACTAACCAAATCATATCACATTGAGTTGGTGATGTATCCCATTATATCCCCACAAAAATCTCCATCAAATCCCATGAAAAACAAGCTATCAACTCCCATGAAATTCAATTAGATCATATTAGATCCCATTAAAAAAACATCCAATTCTATCCTGAAAAAATTGCTCAACATTTTTCGGGGCTCCAGCCCCATCATCTTCTCAGCGTTTCGGCCAAAAGGCCGTTGGCTTGGTAGTGGAGCAAGCAAACACCTAGCTGCGAATGCCAAAAGACGCGCCGGAAGGTCGTTGAAATCAGAGGCAAAGCTACTCTGGTCGGTGGTATACAATGGTGATTAATGGTGATTTAATGATGGTTAATGATGGTGAATATCTACTGGTTGGTGGTATACCTACCCCTCTGAAAAATATGAAAGTCAGTTGGGATGATGAAATTCCCAACTGAATGGGAAAAAATGTTCCAAAGCACCAACCAGTACTGGCCATGATATACATATTGCATGGTAAATGCTTTCAGGATGTAAGATCTAACAACGGGCCAGAAAATCTGCGGCGTGCTGTTTTTTTTTTGGTTTTCAGACACGCCCAAATCATATCAAGTTGGTTAATCATATCCCCATCACCCAATCACATCATCACTAACTCACACAGTACCACCAGATAAATCCCGATGTTGTCATAAATCACATTGTTCGTAGCATGTTGAATCCCCAATAAATTCCATTTCAATAAATCACATGTTCTCCAATTACAACTATTTTCTAATAATTCGCAGGACTTGTCTTTTACAACAAAAATCATCTGGTTGGGTTTACAAGGTGAGGCCTCCAGTTCTCAGTTGCTTCATACATCCCCCAGTAAGTAGAATGATAAGTATAGTATTATCCCCCAATAAACCCTAGTGAACCAAGTTATAAGATGTTATAAGTCATGAAAAGCTATCTAGACTCACCTCGTATTGACCAACACAACTGGGATGCAAAAACTCGGCTACCCAGCTGGTAGGCGCATGTGGATAACTCGACTCTGGTGAGTTTTACCTATTTTCCGCTGGGAAAGCCATATGGTAATTCCCAAAGATCGCTAGAAATCCACAAGAATTGGAGGTTTGAAAAAAGGTTAGATCGCTAGTTTCATCCACACACATCGGAGGTGTATATCTATGTAATATTTAAGGTTTATGGCATCGGGAATGATGTGGGTTCTCCTGTAAGCCATGAGAAGTAATGACACCAATGTGGTAAATCCACAAATCCAATACAACCAAGTTTCTATCTATCGATATCTAGATACTAGATATATAATAAAATATAATAAAATAAAATATAATATAATATAAAATAATATAATATAACATAATATAATATAATATAATATAATATAATATTAGTATAATACAATATAATATAATATAATATAATAAAATAAAATATATTACAATTAATAATATATATATATATATTATAATGAATATAATACATATATATATATATTATAATTAATATAATATATATATATATACATATGTATGTATATATATGTATATATTAGGTTCACCCAAGATAGCTTAGTTGTTTTATATTAATTAAATAACCTCCAATGATCCGCCTTTCGCATCTATGAGTGATGCATCGGAAACCGATGCCAGGGATTGGCGCAAGGGCAGGCTATGCAGCGTTTTGGTGTGCTATCCAAGTAGATACCCCAAATGCTGGCAACTCCACAAAATATATGGTAGGTACCTCCAATAAATCGGTTCCTGTTGGCCATTGATCTACAGGAGGGGGACCCCCAGTTATAAGTTGGTTTATAAGCCCCATTAAGTATACCCTCTGGCTATTTAACATAGCCATGGGAAATGGCCCATAGAAATAGAGGTTTACCTAGCTATAAAATTGTGATTTTCCATGGCTACGTTAATTAAATAACCAGATGGTATATCATATCTCTATATACTTCATGGGGTTTATAAACCAACAAACATTAAACTAGGGGAGGCACCACCTTGTTCTATGAATTAGTGTTGTTTTGTGCATTTCTGCTTTATGGTTTCAACATGTTTCAACCCATCCCGATCAGATTCATCCCGATCAGATTCTCGTCAGAAATCATCACCCCAGGTATCATGTCACAAACTCGTATCGCCAGCCCAAAATGGCGTAAATTCCAATAAAAAAACATGGAAATATATTGTAAATATCATCAAACAACATCATATAAGATATCAATGATTAAAAACACATGTAATTTCCAATCACAAGTACTTAAACATGTCCTTCAGGGGGTACAGTATACTATACCTGAAAGCATCCACCCAAATTGCTGTCCAGGCACTGTGCTCGAAGAGGTCTGTGAGGCCTATCCTGGGTCTCCCGTTGGGGTGCCATAAACGTTGATGGAGGTGCCCAAACAGGTTTTGTTCAGGATGTTTGACCATGATTTTGTCCATAATTTGTTCAAACATCCTTGTTCGGGGGTCATTATACTGGACTACTAACACTGGATAATGGACTACTAACACTATAAATGTCATAGTAGAACCATAATTTCCGAATATGCACTTGCTCTACTCTTTTTCTGGGATTTTTTCTGGGATCCTTAAGGAAATAGTTTGCAAACTTTCGGTTTTGCTTCAAACAACTTAAGGTTTTCCTAAAACCTGTTCCATTCGTCGTCAAACTGCGGCTCAAAAATTTTTGTTCCACCGATGCTTGGGATGTTTGGGATGGGGGGCTTTCGACCATTTTTGAAGCCTTTTATAGATGATTTATGATGCAAAAAAGATGAAAAGGTCGAAGCATCATCAATTTTCGACCTTATAGATGATTTATGATGCTTTACCTCTTCAAAAAGGTGAACTGCGATAGATGATTTTCCATAGATATCATAGATTCCATAGCTAGGTTAAATAACCAGAGGATGTTTAAATGAAGAATCTGGTCTCCGCTCTCGGACCAAGGGACCAATCGAACGAATGCAGAGACGCATTGGCTTCCGCAAAGGATGGCTCTCTGGGTTCCTTCCATCGAAAACGCGCTGATTTCGTCCAAAATTTGGGGATCAGAAAATGAAGACCAACATTTTCCTTGATTAGCATACATATCTCGAAATAGTACTGATAGAGGTGTTTTGATGTGTTTTGTGTTTTCTAAGTATGACATAGTATTACATGAATTTTGTTGTGTATCATCATCTAAGTATACCATACACTTATCTATCAGCACTATCATACACAAGTAGCAACGCACAATGGCTGCGACAACCCAGCCGAAACGATAGGCTTTTCACTGGTGAACATATACAATTAGGTTGCAACATGGCGGTAGATATATTGGTGAACATGAAGGAACAAACATAAGTGGAGGGCCCCACATTGCAATGTAATCCCCTGGCACCACAGCGGGATAGGCGAACCTTTGCTTCTTTTGCACAGGACCAACGACCCTTAGATGTTTCCAGAATATGGCAGACTTAGCTAAATAAGTGGATTATGGGGTATAGTCCAATATATCCCAGTTATACTGGAAACATCTGAGTAGCAAACAAAGCAAAAATCATCTCGCTATATCCCACACTGAAGTTCTCACCACTTGAGCCATGAAGTTCTACCCCTATCCCATCTCATGAGTTGAGAATTGGGAATTCAACTTCTTTGATTACGATAATCCTCAGTATACTGGCTAGCATACCCTCTGGTAATTTAACATAGCTATTGAAAATGGCCATAGAAAGAAATAGTGGATGTTCCCATTAAACATGGTGATTTTCCATCGTTTTTTGTACCTTTACCAGAGGGTAACCAACTATTTTACCATGGCTCAACAATGGCTCAACTCATCCCAAAAAGGCCAAACAAAAAAGTCCGTCGTCCTCCTTCAGCCGAAAGTGTTGCCCCAAGCTGTGCTCTGCAGTGCTGCAGGTCAGCGTGTGCGACTGCATGTTGTGCAGAAACGGAATGACCTGCATCTGCTTCCCTATAGGTCAGGCAAGGTTATTTGGAGCAAAATAGGTAAAAGTGATTTTGGAGGCAATTTTCTAACTAATAGTTTATTTTTAAGGAAACAAAAATAGTTTTTTTTAACTACATAGTTAATTTTTAAGGGTCCATTTCAAGGTAATTTTTGGGGTTTAAAAAACTACCTTCAAATTTTACCTTGATTTTTTTTGCATTTTTTGCATGGAAAAAAAATAATGAATTTGGAGATTTTCTTAACATTGTACCATAGTAAAGTGAACATTATCAATTGCTTGAAAAGTATTTTAACAATATGTTTCTTGATTTTGTGTGAAGTCAGTCCTACATGATTACTGGAAGTGCAAAAAACTATATTGTTTGAACTTATACTTGTTTGAGCAAATCAAAGTTTTTATTTGTGAAGATCAAATCTGATTGGATGTTTTGAAGATATGTTTTACAACATCAAAGCTACAATGAAGTAACCCCAAGCATACATTCTGTCTTTGAAAGCTCGGTGAGGACATCCATCAAAGTATAATTGAGTTTTTGGTCTTTCTTGTCAAAAAAAAGATTTTGACAGCCGGTCTTTGACAATCTCTGCCCAGTCGCTCCTGGGAGCACTTGCCCTGCTCAGTTTCACAGGAGCATCACAAATCGCTTTTGGCAATGCTGAGGATGAAGTAACCACAGCTGGTGTAGAGGAAGCACTGCTACCACAACTACCACTACCACTACCACCACAACTAGCTCCAGTGCCAAGCTGGCTCCAGGGCCTGCTCGACATGAATTGACTCATCTGCGAATAACTCATCCTTGGTGATGTTGGCTTGGCCACCATGCAAGACCATGGAACTGCCCTGCTTCTTCTCAATGGCTGTGGCTATTGTCCTGACATGATAGTAACCATCTTTCTGATAGACATCACCTCGTCTTTCTGCTCATTCAAAGCTTGCTGGTTTCACTGGATTTTTTTCCACGACATGATGGAGTGAGGCAACCCAGTAACCTGAGATTTGTTGGTGCAAATCTCAAAGTTCTTCTTGAAAACCTCGCACTGGGTATTTCCAGGAGCAAAAGCAAACTCGCCACTGGTGTTCTGCTGAAAGACTTTGTTGATGAATTGACTCTTAAATAACCTTGGGGGAGGAGAATTCTTGGAGCCCTCTTCATAGAGCTGCTGAAGATCTTCTGGCACCTGACCACTTTTGATCATTCTGGAACATTTCCTTACCTTGGGGTAGCTTCGATGCTCATCATCAGCAACTGTTGCATCCTCCTCTTTAGGCTCCTCATCTTCTCCTTCTGCATGGTCATCAGGAACTGGCTCATCCCTGGTCTTCTTCCATCCTGCTGCCATCTCCTTGACAGTCTTCGCTTTGGCCTTGGCTTTCGCCTTCAGCTGCATCAGGTCTTTTCTGGATTTTCTTCATTGTGCTCTTGGCTTTTGCCTTTTGAGCTTTCATTGGCGAAGAAGTAACCCCAGGAGCTTTGCTGGCAGCAGCCTTGGCTTTACCTGCTGCCTTTGCCTTGACTTTAGATTTTGCTTTCACCTTGGCTTTGGCCTTTGCCTTGGGTGCTGCAGTATCTAAGAATCTAAGTCAGCTCATGGGGCAGCTTCTTCTGGAGAAGCCTGTTCTACAGATTCTGGTGCTGGTTCAGGTGGAGGCAAAAAGCAAGCATAGCATCAGGTTACCAACAGGGGCGACAAGTGACAAGTAACTTCAATCTTGAGCACCAGTGTGCTACATGGATGGTAAATGCACTTGTACACTTGACATTTTTTCCAACCTTTCACCAAAAAAGTAGCCCACATACCAAAGACCTCGTGCATGTATCAACCAACCATTGTGCTATTTATCATTCACAAAAGGTGCTGCATGAGTTTTTCTTATTTTTGGATGGTAATATGTTTTTGTGAAATAAATATTTGTCCTATGCATGCAATAATGGAAAACAATACTTAAAGATATGCTGCGACTTTAAGAAGTGGTTCGTGTTCAAAAACATTAACAAGATAAACAAATATATAATTAGAAAATAAAGCATATATATATATATCAAAAATGAATAACAAAAAACAATAAATGAACAAATAAATAGTGTATATATATACAGTATGTATATATATATGTATTCAATCAAAAATCAGTGGTGGTATATGTGGCAAAAAAAACATATTACAGTTTCAGTATTGTACATGTGGCTTTTTGTTTTATTTATGCATGTTCACCTAATGTAATTGCTCTTGTCCTAGGTTTTTTTGAAACTTTAAGGCATAATGTACCCAAATACTAATGTAGAGATATATGTGTATTCATTTGGTGTGGTGTTATTGGTTGGCTTGGGGTTACAGTTTTGCAAACCAAACCCATTGCATGCCAACCAACCCTATAAGGTACCTTGTAAAAGGAAAGGTGCTTTAAGCCCCCCTTCAGGTCCTTTTTTTTGGCAAAATAAAACAAAAAATAAAAATGGGAATGCACCAAAAATGTGTAATGAAAATATTTGATTATAGTTTCTGTATTGTACATGTGTTTTTTCTTTTCTTATTTATGTATGTTCACCTAATGTAATTGCTCTTGCCCTATGTTTTTTCGATGACACTTTAAGGCATAATGTGACATAATGTACCCACATACTAATGTGGAGGTATATGTGTATTCATGTGGTGTGGGGTTATTATTTGGCTTGGGGCTACTGTTTTCAAACAAAACCCATTGCATGCCAACCAACCCTATTAGGTACTTTGTAAAATAAAAAGGTGCTTTAAGCCCCCTTAAGGTACCTTTTCATTTTTTTGGGAAATCACAAAACAAATAGACATATAGATGTCTCAAAATGCCTAAGGCAAATGTTTGATTACAATTTCAGTATTGTACATGTGTTTGTTGGTGTTTTTTTTTTAATGTATGTTCACCTAATTTAGTTGCTCTTGTCCTAGGATTTTTTTGATGCAACTTCAAGACATCATGTACCCAAATACTACTGTGGATATATATATATATATATATATATTATATGTGTATTCATTTGGTGTGGGGTTATAATTTGGTTTGGGGTTACTGCATTGCAAACCAAAACCATTGCATGACAACCAACCTATGTTTGGGGTTTCTATTTTGGAAACGCACAGCATTCAATCAAACACAAACCATGGTTGGTACTACATGCTTATCTAAACACCAGGCAACAATAACCTTCGTTTTTTATTTGATTTTTTTGAATGAGAAAAACACTTACAAAGAATAGTAATCCATATTTGGGGTTACTTCTTTTAAAATGATCCCAGCAATAGATCCCTATGTTGTTTTTATTTTTTTCAACCAGTAACATACATGAAACCTATTTAAAAAAAATGAAATGAAAAACTCATTTTTTAAAACAAACAAACATGGTTTTCAAGAAATTAAACACTATTTTTTTAAAGAAAAAACACGTTTTCTCTATATTTTTTGTTTACTGCCCTGAAAGTTTGTTGAAAGTTTGTTGCAAACTTTCAGTCAAACTTTCAGGGGGGGTTGCAAGTTTGACTGAAACTTTCAATGCAAACTTGCAGGGCTGGATTGAAAGTTTCAATGCAAACTTTCAAGGCTGGATTGAAAATTTAAAGAAACTTGCAGGGCTACATTGAAACTTTCATGCAAACTTTCAGTGTAGCCCTGCAAGTTTCTTTAAACTTTCAATCCAGCCTTGAAAGTTTGCATTGAAACTTTCAATCCAGCCCTGCAAGTTTGCATTGAGAGTTTCAGTCAAACTTGCAACCCCCCCTGAAAGTTTGACTGAAAGTTTGCAACAAACTTTCAACAAACTTTCAGGGCAGTAAACAAAAAATATAGAGAAAACTTGTTTTTTCTTTAAAAAAATAGTGTTTATTTTCTTGAAAACCATGTTTGTTTGTTTCAAAAAAATGAGTTTTTCATTTCAATTTTGTTTGTTTTTTTTTTAAATAGGTTTCATGTATGCTACTGCTTGAAAAAATAAAAGCAACATAGGGATCTATTGTTGGGATCATTGAAAAGAAGTAACCCCAAATATGGATTACTATTCTTTGTAAGTGTTTTTCTCATTTAAAAAAATCAAATAAAAAACGAAGGTTATTGTTGCCTGGTGTTTAGATAAACATGTAGTACCAACCATGGTTTGTGTTTGATTGAATGCTGTGTGTTTCCAAAATAGAAACCCCAAACATAGGTTGGTTGTCATGCAATGGTTTTGGTTTGCAATGCAGTAACCCCAAACCAAATTATAACCCCACACCAAATGAATACACACATATATACATATATACCTCCACATCAGTATTTGGGTACATGATGCCTTGAAGTTGCATCCAAAAAATCCTAGGACAAGAGCAACTAAATTAGGTGAACATACATTAAAATAAAAAACCAACAAACACATGTACAATAATGAAATTGTAATCAAACATTTGCCTTAGACATTTTGCGACATCTATATGTTTATTTGTTTTATTTTTCCCAAAAATGAAAAGGTACCTTAGGGGGGCTTAAAGCACCGTTTTATTTTACAAAGTACCTAATAGGGTTGGTTGGCATGCAATGGGTTTTGTTTGAAAACAGTAGCCCCAAGCCAAATAATAACCCCACACCACATGAATACACATATACCTCCACATTAGTATGTGGGTACATTATGTCACATTATGCCTTAAAGTGTCATCGAAAAAACATAGGGCAAGAGCAATTACATTAGGTGAACATACATAAATAAGAAAAGAAAAAACACATGTACAATACAGAAACTATAATCAAATATTTTCATTACACATTTTTGGTGCATTCCCATTTTTATTTTTTGTTTTATTTTGCCAAAAAAAGGACCTGAAGGGGGGCTTAAAGCACCTTTCCTTTTACAAGGTACCTTATAGGGTTGGTTGGCATGCAATGGGTGTGGTTTGCAAAACTGTAACCCCAAGCCAACTAATGACTAATAACACCACACCACCTGAATACATGCGTATTAATGCATACATATATATATATTTAAGTATATATATATATATAGACAGTGATATTTAGGCACATTACGTCTTAGAGTTTCATCAAAATAATCATAGGACAAGAGCAGCACATAAATAACAAAACAAACAAGATATGTACAATACTGAAATTGCAATAAAATAATTGCTCTAGACATTTTGAGACATCTCCATTTCTATTTCTTTAATGTTTTATTTTTCCAAAAAATGAAAGGTACCTTAAGATGGCTTAAAGCACCTTTCATTTTCCTAGGTACCATTGTGGAACCAGTTTTTGAACATTTTAGGCTTCGGTTTCCGGAACCAATTTTCAGACGTTTTGAGACATCTCCAGTTCTACTTTTTTAAGTTTTGTTCAATGAAAATGAAAAAGCCATGCAACATCCATTGTGAATTATAGATATCACATTGGTTGATTGATACATTCACAAGGTCTTTGGTATTTCTGTTGTAAGCTTTTCTGACATCATCATGGGCAAAACATGTTCTTCATGGAGTTACTTTTGGTGAAAGGCTGGAATTTACGTCAAGTGTACACTTAGGGATGTCTCAAAATAGGAGTGCCCCAAAGCTCTGTTTTGCACACTAAAAAACAAGGGCTTGGGGCCCCCTATTTTGAGACATCCCCAATTGCATATACCATCTGTGTAGCACACTGGTGCTCAAGATTGAAGTTACTTGTCACTTGTCGCCCCTGTTGGTAACCTCATGAAGAGGCCTGCTTGTCCACCTGATGCTATGCTTGCATGTTGCCTCCACCTGAACCAGCACCAGAATCTGTAGAACAGGCTTCTCCAGAAGAAACTGCCCCATGAGCTGACTTAGATTCTTAGATACTGCGGCACCAAAGGCAAAGGCCAAAGCCTAGGTGAAAGCAAAATCTAAAGGCAAGGCAAAGGCAGCAGGTAAAGCCAAGGCTGCTGCCAGCAAAGCTCCTGGGGTTACTTCTTCGCCAATGAAAGCTCAAAAGGCAAAAGCCAAGAGCACAATGATCAAAATCCTGACAAGACCTGATGCAGCTGAAGGCGAAAGCCAAGGCCAAAGCGAAGACTGTCAAGGAGATGGCAGCAGGATGGAAGAAGAGCAGGGATGAGCCAGTTCCTGATGACCATGCAGAAGGAGAAGATGAGGAGCCTAAAGAGGAGGATGCAACAGTTGCTGATGATGAGCATCGAAGCTACCCCAAGGTAAGGAAATGTGCCAGAATGATCAAAAGTGGCCAGGTGCCAGAAGATCTTCAGCAGCTCTATGAAGAAGAGGGCTCCAAGAATTCTCTTGAACACCAGAGGCGAGTCTGTGTTTGCTCCTGGAAATACCCAGTGTTCGAAGTTTTCAAGAAGAACTCTGAGATTTGCAACAAATCTCAGATTACTGGGTTGGCTTAGGTTGTGGACAAAATCCAGGGAAACCAGCAAGCTTTGAATGATGCAGAAAGACGAGGTGATGTCTATCAGAAAGATGGTTACTATCATGTCAAGACAATAGCCACAGCCATTGTGCCCTGCCATGGTCTTGCATGGTGGCCAAGCCAACATCACCAAGGATGAGTTATTCGCAGATGAGTCAATTCATGTCGAGCAGGCCCTGGAGCCAGCTTGGCACTGGAGCTAGTTGTGGTGGTAGTGGTAGTTGTGGTAGTGGTAGCAGTGCTTCCTCTACACCAGCTGTGGTTACTTCATCCTCAGCATTGCCAAAAGCGATTTCTGATGCTCCTGTTAAACTGAGCTGGGCAAGTGTGCAGCATGAAATCAAAGAAACCAAAGTGGTTCAGGAGCGACTGGGTAGAGACAAGAAAGACCAAAAATCAATGATACTTTGAAGGATGCCCTCACTGAGCTTTCAAAGACAGAATGCATGCTTGGACAATGCTTCATTGCCAAGTATGACTGGTTCATTATTGCCATAATCTTGTTTCATGCCTTTTCTGACTTTTCCTCATTTTTGCCATGCTGTTGTTTCATAAATTTTGTCAGTGACACAAACACTACCCATGATCAAATCATTTGATCCAATCCAAGTGCCAAGGGAAAAACATGAGACCCTGTCAAAATACATGAAATAAACCCATGCACATATGTCAGCAGCACGTATATAGTAACCCCAAGAGAACATCAGACACATACCATATAACAAAAGAAAATAAATAAATATATATATGTAAAAACGAAGTGAAAAAACATAACCCTTAAAAATTACCTTGAAAAAGGTTCTCAATAATTACCTTCAAAGGTATTTTTTTTAACTAATAGTTAAAAAAAATCGACCAAAATTATCTTCAAAAAGGTATTTTTTTTAGAGTTACCTATTTTGCACCACCATGATTTTCACTCACATCACTTTTTGGGGCTCCACCTTGAAGCTGATTGGGCTGGTTATCCATTCAAATCCACATCAAGTCCTATAAATCATTGCTGAAATCGTCAGCATTCTCCCATAAATAAATCACATATTCATGGTTACATGTCCCCGTTAAAATTATATATGTTTTCCCTTCTCTCCATAATATGTACATACAACAATTGGATGGAGGTTAAACAACCCATAGGTCATACTGGCTAAATACCCAAATTGCTGAAATCCATAATTTGTTTTGATATATCGCATATATTCCCAGTGTGTTCCCATGAATATTCCCTATATTATTCTCATTGAATAAGACATGTTTCCAAGTTTTCAATGGTTTAATCCCACGTTCGCGACGGTTGTCCATCCCAAGGCCTGCAGTTCCTCAGGATGCTTCTGAGAAATGACGCCCCTCAGATCAGCCTGGGACCGCCAACGATTTTTGCAGATGTTGATTGAAGGAAAACAACGCTATATTAAAAAAAAAACATTGTAAAACAAGAACCAGAAAATGAACATGAAGTTCGTTTGCAAGTGCCTATCATGATCATGTGGTAAACTCAACTTGTGTCTCCTTAGCTCCCCATTCAATAGGGAACATGGATACCCATGGCTCTGAATCGCTTCCTCCCAACTGGATCGCCAAAAAAAAGTCACAACACAGCCTTGAACTTGAGAAAATTCAATGGACATCTATTTGGTATTTAGCTTCACAAGATAGCGAGTGGCAGTATTCTGATGACCCCTTGGCCCCCAAGGGGCGGGTTGAGTATGCGAACGGGAACGGGAAGTCGCGTTCATCTTCCATCAGCTGAAAAATCATCGAACTATGGGGTAAAGCTTGGGGTATCGTTAACATGGGATAAGCATCAACATTGACATTTACCCTCTGGTAATTTAACATAGCTATTGAACATGTCCATTTATAGTGGATTTACCCATTAAAAATGGTGATTTTCCATAGCTTTTTGTACGTTTACCAGAGGGTAAACAAACTGATGAAGGGTCATATGAACCCCAGGAAGGCTAGGCCAAAAATCATCGTCAAGTTCCAGGTCGACTCGTAGAGACCCATAGAGACAGAGGTTCTGCATGACCATCTGGTTATGACTAACATAGCCATGGAAAATCCCTACGATAAATGGAGCTATTAATAGGAAAATCATCTATAAATGGATATATGATGATTTATGATATATCATGATACCCTCTGGTTATGACATTCACAGTTTGCCATGGAAAGATCCACCATGCTATTAATAAATAGGTAAACCATCTATTTCGATTAGGGCCATCTATACCATGGCGAACTGTTAAATAACCAGATGGTACTTCACAGGAGAAAAACACGGCTGGCCATTCTTTGCAGGGACCGCATGTACAGGAATCCCTTTCACCTAACTGGGACACCCAAAATGAAGAGATCAAGCTGGGCAGCCCATCCCACTGCGTATGTTATAAACCTGGTTGTAGGTGGGATCATATGATCATCTGGGATAGCCAAGTTTTTTTTTATCACTTAGGGTTACTGGTTGGTAGTTGAGCAACCTACCCCTCTGAAAAATCATGGAGTGAAAGTCAGTTGGGATGATGAAATCCCCCATATATGGAAAAATAAAAGCCATGTTCCAGTCACCACCAACCAGGTTATAACCTACTTCCTAAGTGGGATGAGTCACCAAGTCATATTTAAACCATGTTCAACCAGCATTTTTTTTCATGCTTTGAAGCCACCTTCACGTCCACCTGGTGGCCTTACCCATGGCAGTTCCAGGCACTTCCCATTGGGACTCGAAAGTGGTACAGTAGCTGCCACAGGCGCGTTCCGTGCCACGCAAGATGCCCTGTCAAAGATAGGGCGAGAGCCATTAAAACATGGGAGTGAACCAAAATTGACATAGAAATTCTAGCTTGAACTCCCAATCTTTATGGATAAACTATACTTATAACTTATAATTTACATAAAAATTGGATCAGCTATAGTTTATAAATCAAATTATCATGTAAAACTTGCTAATTTAGATCATTACAATCCAATTATTACTATAGATGATCTATAATTCAGTGAATTCTAGGTTTACAACATTATAATAATTATGGTTCACCATGGTTTATTTAAGATCAGCTATATCCTAGGTTCAAGATCAGCTATAGATCGATTGCTTATAAATACAATTATTACTATAATAGATGATCTATAATTCAGTCAATTATAAGTTATAAGTATTAGGTATTTATAACCAATTTACTAAAACTGACAGATATAATTTACCATAATTCTGGGTAAATGATATATAATATTTCACAAACCTGAATCTTGCGGCCATAAAAGGGGATGATTTCCCTTATTAATTCACCATGATTCCAGGGTTCCGTCGCGACGTGCGGCGCCTCCGCGAGGTACTGTGGAAGATCTTCCACGATGCGCTGCCAGCTGTTCTGATGCGCCACATGACCTTCTTCCAAAAAGGAGAATCGATGGAAAGTTCAGCACCAAAGAATTGGGATTTACCCTCTGGTAAACTAACATAGCCATGGGACATGACCCATTTATAGATGGTTTACCTATTAGAAATGGTGATTACATAGCTATGGAAAATGGCCATAGAAATAGTTGATTTACCCATAAAACATTGTGATTTTCCATAGTTTTTTGTAAACGTTTACCAGAGGGTACAGTAACTAGCTACAAAAATGCCAAACATGTGAACTATGAAGAATTGGAATTTAGCCAGCAAAACTTATGCATAGCTTATAATGTGGTGCCCAATAAAGATAAGTTATCCACGTAGTCATGGTGAGATTTAACATTAAGCGCCGCACGATGGTCAAGTTGTATGGGTGAATATGGGTCACTGCCATCCAACAAAAAAATGGGAATCCAAACATACAGTTATGGCCCGAAATACAAGTTGTAAGTATAGTTCACTAACCCCATTTCTGGAATGTATAATCCCATAGAAATAACCAGTTATAACATGTGAATGTTATAACTAATAGTTGGCCATAACTCTAGTGGGTATACAGTATACAAACCCTTCTGGAAATGGATTGATGACCAATCCCTTGTTTGGAGAAAACAACATGTGGACTTTGACCATGGCACAGAAAAAAATCCCATACCAAAAGTGGCCATTTTCGAAAATTAGTGGAGCTGCACTCCGAAGTACGACAGTAGGGACAAGAATTGATGCTTCTTCGAGGTTGAAACACAATTGAGTCCTGGCTAAGCCATGGCAGGTTTTAACCAGTAAAAAGCAGTGTGGCCTTGCAGTCGTGGCATCAAAAATGACAGATCCGACAGTCACGGGCCGAAATACCAGTTAGAAGTCAGTAAGTCACCCCATCTACGGTTCATTATAACCTCAGTATCCATAAGAATAACTGGCTTCATGGCTTTAACATGCTTTGACTGTAGGGGAATTAGCCATATTAGCCTCCAGACTCCACATGTCATTTCTAACTGGAAATAGTCTAGAAAATATGGTAAAAACTCACAGGAATAAAAACATGCAAGAAAAACAAGTCTAGACATAAATGGTAAAATAAAGAACATCTCATGTGGAACGATGGCAGGAAAAAGGGTCCGTTCAGGCTACAAAAGTTCATTGATTATAGTCATTGTTGTGTTGGGATTGTTAATTAAAGATCACCCCACTTAACAAGTGGTTTAGACTTGCTTCTCAACTGGATCTGATGGGAAAAGATGCAACGTCTACCGGGAAATAACCCTTAATTAAACGCCTGCAAATTGGGGAATCACATCGGCGCCAGTTCTATGTTGATGTTCACCCAACGATATCTACCCATCATGTTATAAATCTTGGTAGATAATGTGGATGAACATGTGAAAACGGAGATGGAAGTGGTTTGGAGATATAGTTAG